CTTAAAAGGAAACCAGTTTATAGAGGCAGGCTAAAAACTTTTAATTCCTCTTTTCACCGACTACAGTTTTTATTGCAAAGTAAACTATGAGTAAACAAACTGATAAAACACTTGCTTATGGGCATGTAGTCTGAAGTAGTAGTTACTGTGATGCACAGGATGGATTTCCGAAATATCTAAAATCTTTATTCCTTACTGCAGCTTGAAATTCAAAAGCACCCGTTTTTTGAATCTCTCAGCTGGACTGATCTTCTTCAGAAGAAGATTCCGCCACCATTTAATCCTAATGTGGTAGGTGCCTGGTGCTGGTTTGGTGCTAAATTTTTGCTTTTGAGGGCTCATCTATTTGCAGAGTGTTTGTTTCAGAATAGTGAAGAATGGGATCTCCCTGGTGAGTGCTGGCTGGCTTTTTGAGCAGTCACACTTTTGAGCCACGATACTGTCTTTTTTTACTTAAAACTTGGTTTGATGGATCCCTGTTTCTTCTGCTAGCTCCTGTCAAAGTCCTGCCAATTTTTGTGAGGTCTGAAGACCAAAGAAAAAGTACAGATAACTTAACTTATCAAAGACTTCCCAAAAGACTGATTTCCTGCTTTTTTAATAGTTTTTACATCTTAGTTGCAAATTTTCTCTATCCTTCCATCAGTTTAAACTGGGTCAACCTGTGACTGCTTGTCCAAAAACTCAGGGTGAGGTGGGACCAACAGTGAGGAGGAAATCCTTCCTACAGTCACATCAGAGGATCACTTTTGTTGAGGCTGTGTCCAGTGAAAGAAGCCTTAGCTGTCTTGTTGCTTCTCTCTGTGACTAAATATTACTATGTTGAGTTCTTAGGTGTTCACTGGGAAGCTGATCTATCTTAACAGTACCACTGCTAAAATTTAGCACTTCAAAATATTATTGATGGAAAAGGGAGAAAAAGAATTTGGTGTTGTTTGGGATTTTTTTTTCTAATGGGTTTTGGGGTTGTTCTTACGTTGGTTGGTTTGTTGGTTTGTTGTGTTTTGGGGTTTTTTTGGGGAAGTTGTTAGTGTTTGCATCTCCTTAACAATCATTTAAGAAAGAGACATTTCTTCATATTTTCTAGGTTTATCAGGTTTGGCCCAAACTCCAGCCTAAAAGAAAAAAACACCCCTTCAGGAGTTATGTTCAGGGATGCTGCAGTGTGCTTCCTTAAATTTCCTATACTTAAATAAGAAAGAACGACAGAGACTAGACAGCTTTGAGAATTAAGTTTGGAACCTAAAGGACAAGGACAAGTTTAAAACACCATATTAATATGACAACTAACAGATCTTTCTGTTTTCTAGGTTGGACCAGACGACATTGGGAATTTCGATGCAGTGTTCACAGAAGAAATGGTCCCATACTCAGTTTGTGTTTCTTCTGATTACAACATCATTAATGCCAGTGTCCTAGAGGCAGATGATGCATTTGTTGGATTTTCTTACGCACCACCTTCTGAAGATATGTTTTCCTAGGAAGTTAAAAGCGAAGAATGTTTTGGAAGTCTTGGAGTGAACTTAAATGTTAGGGTTATGGACACATTCCAAAATAGCGTAACTAGTGCCTCGTTTTGTATGTAGGTTTGAAACCTATGAACAAACTTTCTCTGCTGTATAGGAGGAATTCGGGCATTTTGGATGGCTTTCTTTGGGATTTGAACTGTTTGTTCCTGCTGCAGAAAATATTTTTTAAAACCTTTAAAAAGCATTCTCTACGTATTTTTTAAGCAAAAACACTGACTGTTCTCCTTAATCCCTTCAAGTTTACATTCATACCTATCTAATTTGCCTGGCACAAACAGCAGCGAATTTAGTAAATTTATAAATGCTTTTGTACTTATTTACAGTGACTTTGTGCTTGAATTGTAACTATGCAAATTGTCTTTTGTATATCCTGGTTTAAAAAAGGTAAATGTTTTCCCTGTTAACAGTTTGAAATGTGTTAATTTACCTGTCAGCACTTAAATGAGGGGTTAATATAAGTTAAGGACCAAGATTCTTAAAGGACTTCTCCAGAATGAAAACTTGGTTATGTAAAACTGGATTCTTGCTCTTGCTCTTGCTGAAGTACCCATTGGCTCAACTGGATTATCTGAGGTATGGGGGATTAACTCAAAGCAAGGATGGAACAAATTAACTGGATTGATTTGATAACATTACTCTCTATGTGTTCTACTTTTCTTCCTGAGCTAAATATGTCTATATTTCAACTACATTAAAAATAGTTTTGGTTAAAATTCTGCTTCTCCAAAGATATAAAAATATGCAATAATCACCATTACTTTAAATGGCTATCTTGCTTTGACGTTTTGGGTGTGGGTGGTGAGGGGATCATGCCAAATATTAGGGATTTTTCTCATGGATTTGTAGTTTAAAACACTAATGTGTTCCAAATTGATTGTATTTCAGCATTCATAGCTACTTGTCTTTCTGTTCCAGTTTGCACCATTTTTAAATCTTCACTTGATATTGGGGGGGGAAATGTAAATTACACTGATAATTTTAAAAATGTGAAAAGCTGTTGTATTTCTCATAACATACACATGTATGGACAAACAGGTAATACTGAACAATTTCTGTTTAAGGAAATTTTTTTAAACAATGCAAAAATTGACTGCAGTTACAGTGTATAAAGGCCTATCATGGTAGTTTATTATATATATTACTTGTAAATAACAACTTATTTTTGTCTGTTACTTCAGAAATGTTCTGTGGTTTTTTGTTCATAAATACATTCAGTTAAATGCCTTGATTTGAGAGAAGATACTGATGTATCATAATAATACATAAATTGAATGAATGTTACATGAATTTCAGTATCTAAATCATCCTGTTTTTGACAAAATAAGCAGTTAAGATAAATACTCTTTATATTCCATCAAGGTCGGATAAAAATTGAGAACCTAGGGGAAAAGAGTGTATTGAATCATAATTCTTCTGAAATAAATGTTGTGTCAACAGTGAAAAATTAGGTAAGTGGGAACTAAAACAGGATTCCTTGCTTATCTCAAGGAGTATCTCCTATAGCACAGTCTCCTGCATAGTGGTTAAGTGATGCTGAGCAGTTGCTATGTGAGGTTTTGGAAGGAGTGATTGTAAAGAAGTAAAAATTGACATTGGCATGGAAGGTCGGAAGGAACTGTAGCACTTGTGGGAGAGGAGTGGTGGCTCGGCACTCATTTTCCATAGTTCTCTTCTGCAAGGATTGGAAATAGCTATGTGCCTGCTCAAGACACTTAACAACTACATGAATAGTGTTCTTGGAGTTACAATCATTTGGAAGCAACAGGCTTGGTGTTGTTTTTGTTTTGGGGTTCTTTTGGGGTTTGGTTTGGGTTTTTTTAACATATATTTTTAATATCAGTCTCTGATGGACTGGAGAGCAGAAATTGATGATAGGAAAGGAAGTATCTATTCTCTTACTGAATTTTTACTCTGTATGGTGCTGAAATTATTGTGGCTACTGTAACTACCTTCCCTTTATGGCAAGGAGGTACACTACTCTAGAGAGGTGGGAAGGAGAGGGGTTCATTCAGAAATTGTTGCTGTGGGAGATAGCACTCTTTTTAATTTTCATCTCGTATTTCCAAAATGTCCATACCTAGCTGCCTGACTGGGTGAGGGCTTTTGGTTTTTTCTTTTTGGCCACAAATTTGGGGGTTCTTTCCTTCTTTTTTTTTCCCCTTTAAGAAAATAGTATGGCAGTGGTAGTTGAAGTTATTTCTGGGAGAGCAGCTTAATAATTGCTTATTAAGCTTTTTAATATTGCTTATTAAGCTTTTTCCTTCAGCAGATTTTGCCTTTTTGGTGAAGTGTGAACATGTTAAATGCATCACTTGCAATACTTAAGTTCTTTGAATCAGGACTTCTGAAGGTTAACAGACTCTGTGTACAACATCAGGCAATAAAGCCTTACAGTACTTCTGCTCTTGTTCTACATTTCTGAATCACATGAGGGTGGTTTCCAAAGTAAGACAGCTGGGTTTGGAGTGTTCGTAGCCACTTCACCCAGGGCTAAGCTGAAATGTGACATCTGAAGCACTTGGTAAAGCCTAGAGAGGAGACCAAATCTGCACAGGAAACCACCTTTGGTACTCCTTTCCTGTTTGGGCATATAAGTAATAAAGGAAGGTAAAGTTTGCCTTTTTGTGACTAATGCAGGTCTGTAGCGAAAGGGGATTGTTCTTCCCCTTCCAGAGAGAGAACCCAAGCACCCCATGAGGAGCAGGCCTTTCTGCTGTGGAGGTGCTGTGGAGGCCGAGGAATGGTGCTGCCATTGTGCCCTCCAGTCTTTTGGCCTAGAAGGGGGGAGCGAGAGAGACCACAAGAAGATGGACTGATGAAAATGCACAGTGGTTGTAAAAGTGTGAACTGATATACAACAGAAATAGAGTTCAGAAGTGCTCTCTCAGGAGGTAAGTTTGTGGGTGGCTGGCATGCTAAAGGCAAGCAGTTAAATATGCAATATGTATTAATGGAAGAAAATGGCTTTATAAGTACGTTGTCTTTTAGTACTTAATACGCTCTCAGTTACAAGGACTCCCTGAAGCAACAACTCAGCCTCGGGCATATTGATCACCATAACTGGTCCACTCTGGCCTCTAATCGGGAGGCCTGGAGACAGACCATTTATAACGCTGCTGATGCTTTTGAGAAAGCACGCAGGATCACTCTTGAGGAGAAAAGACAACGCAGAAAGAATCGAACCTTGCAGAATATACCATCTAAGGAGTCTTTCTGCTGTGTCTTTTGCAACCGGACCTGCCTTTCTCGTATTGGCCTTTTCAGCCACCAACGCGCTTGCATGAAAAATGGGTAGAGCCCTTCCCAAATCTTCGTTCGCGAAGCCTAGCCATGACGCTCTCAGTGCATGACCCTTGTCCCTGGCCCGTGGGTGGAGGCAGTAGCCATGTGTCCCCTGGGGCAGAGTCACCAGTCCCATGGTGGCAGCGAGGCTCGGGCATCTGTGGGTGTCGGATGCGCCTGGGTTTCCCTTCCCTGAGGACTTGGGAGTGGCCACAGGCGCTCCCCTTCGGGACGTGGCCCGGCGGCGCTGAGCCCTGCGGGCTGTGGCGCCGTTCCCGCCCGCGCCGCCGCTGGCTCAGGGCTCGTTCCCGCCGCATGAGGGGCTGAGGGAGCGGCGCCAGGAGCCCAGTCCTGCGGCTGTGGAGCCCTCGCTGCCGCCTCCTACACGGCCCCGTTCGCCTCCCCGCGGGCACAGCGGCGCCTCGCAGGGAGCAGTGTCAGGGCTCCAGCCCCGCGGTGGTGAGGGCGGCCCGGTCCCCTCGGTGCCCATGGCCAGTGCCCATTGCTGCCGCTCCAGCAGTGCTTAGGAGGGGGCATAGGAAGCCTGGAGAATACTTTGGTGGAGGCGTCTGTGAGGAAGGGGTGCTGATGGCAGGAGCCTGAAGCCAGATGAGATATAATGGGTATCCACGCCAAATGGATAGGCTGTGGGGACGCTGGTGAACATGGTCACCCTGGTAGTGGGAATAGTCAGACTTTATTTTTTGAAGCTTAGGTGATGACTCTTCAGTGCACAATGAGCTGAACCAAGCTTAATCCTTCCTAGTTGTTTGGTGTCCTGTTTTCCTGGGCCAGGAAACAGGGGGGCCAGGGTGCTACAGTGTGTGTTTAATCCCTTCTTGCTGAAGGTTTGTGCAGCAGTAACCCTAAAGAAACCCTATTATAAATTCTATTTCAATTTGTGCTTATAATTTGTTACTTCAGGCACTAAACACATCCCAGCACACAGCATACAATTCTCAGGCCGCAGGGTTTTACATTGCTGCCACACTGACATTGTGCTGGAAACCAGTTACTCCTCTCTTAGATGTTGATCTGTTTGTCCTCCTGAAGCCACTTCTGTGAACCCCTACAGGGGATCTTCCATGTGCTATGAGCTTTGATTCCTCATCATCTCAGTAATTCTGTGTCCTATCCTTTACCAGGTAGCTAAATCTTACTTTTGAAGATTTGAATGGCATTTCACATTGGTCATTTACAGAGAGGACAAAGGACACTTTGCAGAAGAAAATCTGTAAGACAGTAAAACAGATGCATGTATACAAAATGCCATATTTTGGCCTTAGTAATTCTTCTAAATTCTGCAAAATAGTGCTTCGTGGTATGAGACTACACTTAAAAAAAAAAACGATATGCAGGTAATACACAATGAAAACAGCACTGAAGATCATGATCAACCTCCAAAACAAAATTGTAATTGTAAAAGTTTTGTCTATGGGAATCAAAAGTGATCTTCTGGGTACATGGATGGAAATAAGTGTTTGCGAGATCAGCATCTTAAGTGGGTGCTACAGGAGGTAACAGCAGAGTAAGAAAGATTTTAAAGAAAAGATGTTTCCCAATTTCACACTTTTAACAGCTATGACAGACTTATCAAATAAGGGAGATAAAATTTTGTCTTACTTTTGATAGACTGATTATACTTATAAAATAAACAGGGGAGGTTAAATTAAATGCAAGCTTTAATTTCATGGGTTAGGGAATTAGGAGAGTGAAATAATTCGGGGGGGGCAGGGAAACACATTAGACCATTCTTCAGAAATTCACTCTAGGAATTGAGTATGCTTCAGCCATTGGAAACAACTTCCATTCATGTCATTTCAAAATCCTTAAAGAATTGCATAGTTTGAAAAAAAAGACTATTTTAATTTTGTGTAGATTTGCTAATATATACCAGCAGTAGTAGTAGTAGTAGTAGTAGTAGTAGAAGTTCTAATATAATTTTTTCACAGTTTATACCCACAGTTTGAGAAAGAGTGCAAAAATCTTGGAAGATGCATCCTGAAATACAGAAAATGAGGGAAGTTGCCCTTGTTTACCTTGACAGAAGTGGTGGTCTTCAGAAATTTGTGCATGATTGCAAAAGATATAATGGTATTACTCACTTAATACATAGTTGTTAAATTGATACATAATGTTACACAAATCTCTGTTATTTTAAGATGCTTTTTGCTCCTGCAGATTCAAAACAAAGTTATGCTGTTTATCGTTTCATTATTTCAATAAATCCTTCTGACATTGCTGAATTGGATGCAACTCTTGGAAACTATATTCTTCATAATCCCCTACAAGCTGCACAGATTTTTCAGTCAGTAAGTGTATATTTATAGATGAGTAGACAAAAGTATGGCTTCAATATTTTAACAAGACTTCCATTCTAAAATGAAGTTATTTTTCTGTCATAGGTATGCTTCATAGCTATTAAGACATTATCATTAATTGAACAATTGGAGACAGAGGCCCAGGTGAGTCTGCATTGTTTTTCTCCATTTAGATCGTACATCTTCTAAGTATAGTGAAGTATTAACAAATGTTTTTGTATTAAGTTTTCATTTTCCCTTTGGCTGTAGTATTATTTCTAATTAAAAATAGCTGGAAGTTCCACCCAGCCATATTGCAAGAATTTTGAGATAATTAATATGAAACCTAATTATTCTTCATGTGTTTCTGAAAATATTTTTAATATTTAGATATCATGTTGTGTGTTTGTCCATGGAAAGTAAAGCAGTTTTAAATAAAAATATATTTTTATTATATTAATGCAATTGTATCTCTTGCTAGATCAGTGTATTGCTGAAACCAACACATTTGCCACCTTTACCAAGTTATGTTCTGAGTCTTTCTGCATATCCCTTTAATTGCACATCTCAAAGATTTTATATGTCTGAAGGGATAGTGATTGCAATGGGAACTGTAACAAAATACACACAAGGAGCAAGATTTCTTTGTGCTGAGGAAACCTGTCCGTTCTCTGAAGGTAGTAAAAAAATAAATAAAAATCAGAACTATTTCAAAAGCTTTTTAATAAATTTGGTAATGAAATATTAAAAGCCTAACATAAAAAAGGTATTTTCCTATATAATTTTATTATGCATACATTTTTGTAATAAGCACAGTAGGATTTTTATTAATCGAAAGCAGTGGACCTTGCCCAGCATTATTAAATGTTTTTGGAGCATAGCTATGCCAGCAATCCCTTTTGCTAATGTAGAAGATAGTTTATATGGGAAAAGATATGTTGCCAAAATAGTTGAAAGTAAAAGAGCTAAACTAGTAAAATACCTTTTCCCTTGGAAACTGTGCTTCTTATTGCATAAAAATACCACAGAACAATATGCTTAAGTGTCTGGCAAAGGCTTCAAGCACAGAACAAGTTTGCTTTAATGAGTAGCTGACTTCTGTGGAACTACTTCTTGGAGTAATATTGCTGAACTACTCATACCATTGTGGAGTGAGGCCTTAAGTATTTTTAAGGCTGTTTTGTTTGGTTCCTCCTGTTAACAGAGACCATACAGTTATAAAAGAGATTATAAAACCCAAAGTTTGGAGACTGCAGAATAAATCATACAGATATCTTTATGAGGGCACGTACTTCCATATCCCATGTCATTCCCACGCCAGGCAGAAGCCGCAGTGGCTCGCTCCTCAGAAAGCCTGGCCAACCCGTTCCGCTTGGGAATGTGCAGTAGGAAATTCTGCCATCTGGTGGTCAAGCCACAACAAAGTATATGCATCATTTTAGTGGAAGCAGCGTACATGAAGGGAGGCTCATCTAAAGAAACACATGATAAATTTGGAATTTCACTGTCCAGTATTTTAATCGCTTCTGTTCTTGATGAGAATTTTAAAACTAAAGCTATGCCTCTAAATGTTTGGTAAATTATTACTTCTTTTTTAGGGTTTAGGTACATCAGAGTGCATTGTCCTGGAGCTACAGAGTCTGCCACAGTTAGGACTGATTTTGTGTGTACCTTGTGTTCTTCACCACTGCAGGAAGACATGAAATTTAGAGTACTTGGTGGTAGGATCTATGTAATCTTATTTTCAGATCTGGTACTTTCCTATTTCTGTTACACAATAAGTAAACAAAATAGTTAAGTGGAAAAAGCACCGGAATAAACCAGTCATTTAAAAAAAATGTTTTCAAGAGAACTAACTTTTTTCTCTGCTTTTGTTTTGAAAGATAAACAAATAGTTGAAATGATTGATGCTAAAATTCTGAATGCTTTGAAAGGATATTCCAATGATAAATCACATTTTAGGATTCAGGCATTTACAGTTTTCTTGAGAGGTAAGCTGAATTTTAGAGATTTGTCAACAATGTTTTAGAATCAAACTGTAATAATCCCTTGCATTTTACCTGTAGCTCCATTTCCCTGGATAGAATGGTGGAACTCAAAATTTACATTGCAGGTCTTTATGTATTCCCCCCCTTAATTTTATTGAAATTAGGTAGGTGACAAAACAGTCTGCACAGGTGATTGCAGAGTGCACAAAGCAAAACTCTCATGTTCACTTTTGTACCTCCGTTTAAAGAAAATCTCCTGGCCAGCTCAGCAGTGTTGCATTCTGTCATTTGTTTGTTCCTCCTTTCTACTTCCTTTGGTAATGCTGTTCTGTACTAACTTCATGCCATTTTAACATCCTTCCTCAATCTAGCTGTTTTCCACATTCCATCACGATTCTTGGCTTCTATTACCACTACCTACCTACTACTAAAAAACAATCTATGGGTAAGATACCGTGAGTTGCATGCATTAAATTTCCAGTGGCTTCAGTGATCAGTGAGGCTAGACAGTGTCTGACAGGCTGAGATTCATATTTGGTTAGACCTAGTTCTCATTTCCAAAAAAAAAAAAGGCATTTTTTTTTAAATATGCACAGAAATACTAAGGTTCACAAAGCTATTTGTGAGTCTTTTTGAAATCTGTGTAATCTGTATCTCCTCTTTATTGTGTTGGGGTTTTTTCTGTGACATTTTATGGAACAGTAACTGAAATGGTGTTGCCAGAAATTGTCAAGTAGAAACACATACTTGCAAACAACTGTCCATTTCCTTTTCGATGTAGAACTAAATGCATCCATTTCTTTATCAGGAAACTATTTTTCCTGACCCACTGTGCCTTCCTTACCTTTTGCACTAATTAATTAGAATTGTATACTTCATTTTATTCTAGTCCATTATGGTCAATCTGGCATCCAGCTGTTGTTTTCTGCTGATGTTAAATCATAAAATCAAACATTCAGACTGTGAAGAAGTTTTCTGACCATGTCTTTAAAATTATTTTTATGCCCTAACATATCTGCAGGTCTGCCTCCCCCACTTTTCTTTTTTATTTATTTCTAGATGAACTGGCCAATAAAATGACAATAGGAAACCACTACAGGATTATAGGAATTCCAGCTTGTGTACAAAATGGCTTACAAGCTACAGCATGTATAGAAGTAAATAGCATACAGCTCTGTAAACCAAATGGTAAGAAAGATCCATCAAAAATTGACTGAAAAAGATGCAAAACCTTCTGGAACAAAATCTTGAGAATTGGTATAGTTTTCTATTCCCTAGAGGTCCAGATTACAAAACCACTCAGGGACTTTCCTACTGCAGTCTGAAATGTGTACTTGCTGTTATTTGATAATATCTGCTTTTGCCCACTTTCCATACATTGGGAAACTACCTAATTATTTATTGCAGTTCTTCAACTTTTCTTTCCAACTTCTCCTATCCATTGGAAGGCACTTTGAAATCATGTTAAATGAACCTGATATTTGAGTTTGTTATTCCCTTCAACCTTTTTACTTTTTACCTTTACTACTTTTTAGTAGTACAATTAAGTGTCAGATGTTTACATTCTGAATTTGTGCTTAATACAGGAACATATTAATTAAGTTTTGTATCAAGACTAGAATTAATTAGTGATTTTATTCTAATATATCTGCATAGATCTCTCTTAAGTGTTTGTTAACCTCTACTTTGTTTCCATTAGGTCCTTCTTTTCTCAGTAACAATTTTAAGTATCTGCTCTCATTGACTTCAAGTTCATGCTGGAGGTTTACTGCTGTCCTGGCCAACATCTTTGCTTCTCAAGTTGTTCCACCAGGCACTTACAATACTCTTAAACTTGCAATATTGCTGAGTCTGGTACAGACATGTGAAAAAGAAAATGCAGATTATCTGGATCTGTTGATTGTGACAAGTGACACACTAGTAATTGATAGGTAAAGAGATTCCTTATTTTTCACATAAATTAGAATTTAAAATTAGTATTTTTAAAGACAATAGGATCGGTCTTACATGAAAAGCTAGAGACTATATATAAAAAAAAATGCAAGGCTCAAACTTAGTAAAAATAATAATTTTTTTTCCCCTGAGACATTTTTATTTCTTTCAAATGATAAATCTAGATCACAACTTTACTAATAATAAACCCTCTTACCACTTTCATAATGATAGCAATAAGAATTCAGCACTAGCACTGTTCAGCAGAGCTCAAACAAAACATTATTCTAAAATCAAAACTGAAGACTGTCCCAGGAGCTGGTAATGATAAAAACAAAGGACTAAACTTTTCAAATCTTGTGTCACTTGAAGCCTTTTCATCACTGGTTCCCAGCCATCAGCATTTTTAGTTAATAAGCAGTGTGTAAATCGTTACTTACATTTTTATCTCTCTTTTTCATAATAACTGTACTGATAAGGTATCACAAGTCACGCACATCTTTACATGTCGACCATAAATCCAGTTACTGCTGCCTTTAACTAAACATTTTTCTATATTTTCCCATTTTATGTATTTACCTCTTAGAACAACTATAAACTGTTAACACAATTTTATATACACTGCAGAAAAGTACAAACTGTTCAGCTTTAAAATTACATTATCTTAAACAAAACTGCTTTCTTTTTCCCAAGATCAAAATAGGGCTTCACTTTTATTTTTGAAAGATCTTTGAAAGTGGCACGAACTTAATTTTAATTTGGAACTTCTTAAAAAAAATCATTAATATTTTATGTTGTGGGAAAAAAATACTTAGACCATTTCAAAATTTAACTGTAGAAAAATTAGTTCAAATTTAAAAAATGTGGGCTGCAAGATTTTTTCCTCCAGGTTTAGAGTAAGATTTCATAGAAGCAGGAGCTCAGAGTGTTTTAAGAATCAAAACATCTGGTTAATATTAAAAGAGCTGCACACTGTAAATCTTGATCAATATTGTAATCTGTATTGTCTTGCATGTGCACAGTATTTTACTATCAGCAGCCTGTCAAAGTAGGCATTTCCTACATCATATATCTATTGGTGTGATACTCTATTTACCAATACTTACCAGTTTTACTCAATCATTTTCTCCCAGGTATTTTCTCCCATGCTCTGACATCTTAAAATCGTTAGGAACCTTTGATTGTGGAACCAGACAGACAATTTGCAACATCTCTATGCCAAGGAACATAGTACAGGGGATGAAAAAGATATTCTATACCTTCTTTCTCCAAAAGAATTGGGGAGGTGGGGGTGTAAGCCAAGAAGGCAGAGCTTAGAAGTTCCAGCCTTTTCATTTTTCCCAGATGGCCAGGATTACTAATCCTCTTACCTTTTAAATCACTGGAAAAGTATCTCTAGAATAAAAAGAGGAGTTAACAATATGACGTTATTATGAGACTTCTTTGACTTCCTAGAAATCACTTATATTGCAAACCACGGTTTGCCTCATGTTTAATCCATAAGAAATACCATCCTGTTGGCAGCTGTTGGAGAGAAAGCTTGGAGCTCTACCTTTGCATTCAAAGTTAAACATTTAGTTTTGACACTGGTTTCGTATTAAGGGGTTTTTTTCTTGTTGTTGTATCTAAATGAGTCTTAACACTTTATAATGGTATTTATATATATTAAGTAAGGTATTTTTTTAAAAGTGAACAATAATTTAAGAGCTTATGACTGACAGAATTATTTAATCCTGCAGGCTTCTGAACTACAGTTTATGCCTTCTGCCTCGTGGCATACGACACCCACCTTCCAGTGAAATTTTTCCTTCTGTGTCCAAAGATAAACATGGAACTGGAAGTGCCAGTATTCAAGCCTGCAGCACTGTGCTGGCCAAGGGTGGTGTCTGTTACATAGGAGACTTATCTTCATATAAAAAGGATAAACTTGAACTTCTACAGTCTGGTAATCTCCCACCTCCAAACAGACGAGGGGAGAGAACTAAACAAACACAGAAATTCACAGCTGGGTTTGATCCCCAGCTTACAGGCCTCAAATGCTTCAAAAATCCGTAAGCTGTTTTTAATGAGTCTGTGTAAGAAATAAGGACAAAAAAGCCAAGGTCCTGTAAACTTGTATTTGCTGCACTACCGAGATCCATTAGTCATGGCAATTTAGAGAAATGAGGGCAACAAAGGTGGTGAAGGGCCTTAAGGGGAAGCCATATGAGGAGCAGCTGAGCTGACTTGTCTGTTCAGCCTGGAGAAGACTGAGGGGAGACCTCGGCAGTCTACAACTTCCTTGTGAGGGGAAGAGGGGGGGCAGGCACTGATCTCTTCTCTGTGGTGACCAGTGACAGAACCCAAGGGAATGGCCTGAGCTGTGTCAGGGGAGGTTTAGGTTGGATATTAGAAAGAGGCTTTTCCCCCAGAGGTGGTTGGGCACTGGAACAGGCTCCCCAGGGAAGTGGTCACAGCACCAAGCCCGGCAGAATTCACAAAGCATTTGGATGATATTCTCAGGCATGTGGTGTGACTCCTGAGGATGGTCCTGTGCAGAGCCAGGAGTTGGACTGGATGATCCTTGTCAGTCTGTTCCAACTTAGCATATTGTGTGATTCTGTGAAGTCATAATCGTGACTGGTTTCAAATAATGTGTGTGGTACTACAATTTATAGTCAAGCTAAATCGATCATGTAACTGATTAGTTTTGTCTTATCCTAGTACTAGAGAGCAGAACAACAACAGTATTTATTCCTGGGAAGAAGTATGGAGAAGAAGCTGACCAACAAGTTACTATTTCAGTTCAGACCAATTTTTGGTCTTTTGTGGATGTGGATTCTTCATCAAAGAAACATATACAAAAGGATAACTTTTTAATTGGACAAATGGTAAAGCACATGCCTTATTATGACAGGAACTGTATTATAGCTGTTATTTGTGTTTATCGTTATTTCAACTGATAAAATAATGAAAACAATTCAACTTGTTAGTATTTCCAGAAAAGTCACAACTTTAGTGACTTTCAAGTATCTTCTAAAATGAGGTAGCTTTCCCAAACATAGGGATCAGTGAAACAAAATTTTACTGTTATAGGTAAATTCATTGGATAATCTTGCAGTATAATGAATATTGAATATTTCAGATGGAAAACACTGTGATGGGGCTACAAGTCAAAAGCCCAAAATAAAGTAATTGGTTTTGTTCTCTGGGTCTTCTCTTTAGGACACGAGTTTGATTCCAGCTAACCTTGTAGATGTTTTTGGGCTCTTGATATACAATGAGTTTCCTTCTTGTCGACTATCTTCTCCTCTTGTACACCATATCTTGAAAAAAGCCATTAATCCTGAAGCCATGCTGTACAAAGTCTCACAGCAGTTCAGAACACAGGATTATGAGGAGGTAACAGATTGTACACAATAATTTACACGCATTATATTTGGGAATATCATACGGGTTTTGGCATCAGAGGGTTCTCTCTGCACAGTCTGATTACTTATTTTTGATACTCACTTTCTGTCCTTTCCCCCTCCCATATTCTCACTAGCACTAATAGGATCATCAAAAGAAGCAACTCCAGTTCTTTAAAAGGGTCAGCGTAATAAATTCAGTTTGATCATATTTCTGGAAAGCATAATAGGTTAACATTCATATGAGAACAGATCTTCTATGCCTACTTTTGACCAGAAAAGTTTATAATCACTAGTTAATATTCCATTCTAAATAAACTATCAGTATCTCTAGTATAATTAAGAGATGATTCCCTCAAAGTGTTTGAGGCCACGTTGGATGGAGCTCTGAGCAACCCCACCTAGTGGAAAGTGTCCCTACCCATGGCAGAGGAGTTGAAACTAGATGATCTTTAAGGTCCCTTCCAACCCAAACCATTATATGATCCTATGTTTACTATCCTAGATCTATCCTTATTATGTTAAATACTTTCCCTTTTCAGCAGTCAAATGGTGACAACTGTCTCTGTTTTCTACCAATAGTTTTTATAATACTGTACAGCCTCTATTACTACGCCACTGGTATGTTAAAAGGTGTGAAAAAAAATCAATCCTTTTTTTTTACAGTTAAATATTTTCACTGTATACCCTCTCTCTCTAGTTTATTTTGTTTGCTAAGACTCTTCATGTTGAACTGAGTTCAGAAGCAGAAAACCTCATTCAAGGTTACTATCTTGCAAGTCGCAGGGTTAGAAGAGATTCCGTTCATGGATCAACATTATCAGCATCTGCACTAAAAGTTCTGTGAGTCCTACTTTTCACAGTAAGCGAAACACACCTGTGTTTCAAAGAGAAATTGCACTAATCTGGTCAAGAGCTTGCTTAATAAAAATCTAGATAAGACTCTTATGTTTTGAAAGGTCAAGCATAAAGGATCTTATTTATCGCTTATGAATGCCGAAAGAAATCTAAGTTCAAAGAACTTTTCCAAGCAAAAAATATAACAGGGATTTACAAAACAAGTATTATTATTGAAGCTACCTAGAAAAACAAAAATGGGATTTAAATATTCACAGCTTTATTATGGGAGTAAAACAAGTATTAATAATAGATAATATGTCAACTTCTACTGCTTTCATAGCATAATATGTATTTTGTCAGTGTTAAGTATAACTGCACAGTTGAAGTATGAAAACACTTCAGTGTTAACTTTTGATTTACACAAGTGCTTGAAACAGGGCAATACACATAGCATTCACTTCTGCAGTATTTTTTATTTCTGACATGCTTATATTGATCTCTCAGGATTTCACTGTCTAAGGCTCATACCAAGCTAAGTTTAAGACACACAGTACTTGAAGAAGATGCTTTGATTGCCATCTTGTTACTTGAGTCATCTCTTACCCTAAAACACGGTAAATAATGCAACTCAGCCTTTAGGTTATTCATGTTTGTTAGTTTGAAAAAAGTTTGTATCAATTGATTGCAGTAACAGGTCATTTCAAATCAAAATCCAGAGTTTCCACTGCTGAAGTTGGTATTGGAAGTCTGTCAGTTGGCTTCCCTGCTGAGCCTCAGTGCCAGCACCAAGTCTGTCCTTCACCCTGGTTTATTTGAGGTGTTGCTCCTCTAACACTGGTCAAGGTTAAAGGATAGATTTCCCTTCTTGGGGAAGCTGAAAACAAGGGTTGGGATTTTTTAGTTTGTTTATCAAGCATCACAGTCACATTTGTTCACACACAGCTTTAGAAACAAGGTTAAAATTATGATCTAACACTTAAAAATGGTAATACAGAAGATTGCATTACTATATAATCTGTGTCGCACTTTTTTCATCTCGAAGTACTGGCTAAAATTTATCAAGTCTTCAGCCTAAGTCTTGATTTCTTCTTTGCTTAGGCACATCTGCATTATGTGTAGCACCAAATTCTGTATTTCCATTTGACCTCAGTGATGAAAACTCCCTGCAACAGAGAGATATTTACCTCATGCAGTGTCACCATGAACTCCTGAAGTTTATTGCTGCATATGGTCCAGGAATTCACATCAACACTAATGAAGAGTAAAAACTCCTCTCTGTGGAGTAAAGCCTGAAGCTTTGGCTTTTTGAGACTATTTTATTGAGTTAGAAATACAAAAATATAAAAAACTTACTAGTTGTCTAAGACAGTTCAGTGCTGTTTTATAAGGAATAAAGCATATCCAACAGGATTTGAATTGCTAGTTTTTTGACAGTGTTCTTTGAAGGCAAGAGGGATGCCTTCATCCTGGGAGGCCATGGCCCCAGAATATAGCCACAATCACAATCTCTCTTCCTGGCAACAAATGTTCATTCACTGATAAATGAGGACTAAGCAGGGTTTTTAGTAAGATAACTAAAATTTAAACCCCAATTTCAGAATCTAATGTTGCCTTTCAACTACGTGAATTCACTGCAGTTTTTCTTGTTGCTTATTTTCAAGTGTATCACCCAGAGGGTTAAGTAGTTTTAAGTACATTAAAACTTTTCCTAGTTTAAGCCAACTTTCATTACTCATGCTGTATAAATTTTGAAATGTATAAAACCATCACCATACTGCTTCATGTTTTGTGTCTTTTTTTACATTACAGCAACATAGTATTAGACAAGGATGCCAGTGTGCTCCTGCAATAAAAAAAAACCACCCCCCCCACGTTTCCACATCATTTTATGCAGGCTGCAGGGGATAGCAGAATGCCACGGGAGAGTGAAAAGTACTATTAGACAACCTGGTAGGCAGGTAGCTCAATGAGTTCACTTCTACTTCACTGCAAAAACAAGTGTGAAGAATGGTGTGGTAAAAGATGAGGTGTCTGAGATACAGTATGCTTCCCCAACTATGGGCTTTCCTGTATTTCATCTTCCTAGAAAGGATATAGCACTAGACAATCCTCAGCAAGTTTTACATCTAAGATATATATGTTAAATAAAAAAGCAGCAATAAAATTGTACAGACCTCCTGTCAATCTGGACAAGCTAAATATTTAAGGCTTGTGTGAATCCTATACAGGATGTCATCCAGCAGTACCACAGTGCTACTGTTCCCATACCCTTAAGAAAAAACAAGAGTCACTGAAAACAGAAATCCAAGATTTTATTCATACCCACTACTAACATTGTAAACACTTTAGCCAAGATAATGAGTTTTCCTACACGTTTTAACCCTTGCTGTATTCACTTTTAATCCATTTATTTGATACACTCAAATATTCATACCAAGTTCTAAGGCCAGTTCCCTTTCCAGAGTGACACTCTCACCTGAACTTCATTCCAGGATTATTCAGACATATTCAGCAAACAGGTACTTCCCTGCAATATTATTGAATCAAGCAGTATTTCTGAGAAGCAGGAAGGGCCATGGAAGCATTTCCAAGTGCATTAGAACTCCACATTCCAGGCTGCTCTTTTCAAGCTAGGAGCAATAATAATTTTAAAAAGTTAGTTTTCTGTACCCTTAATCCATCTGTATACAAAGTTATTACTTTCACTGGCATTTCAGATTCAAAGATACACATCAAAACCCCTTCAGATGGGTAAACGGCAAAGGTTCTCATCATTATGCCAGCAAAATAATAGACTGAAATAGAATTCCTTTATAAATCACTAGATTTGAGAAGCCATATTAAGGAATTGTATTCTTCAGAAAAAAACATCCTGCAAAAAGAGCACGACATTTTATCCTTACCTCTCCACAGTCTCTCCCATGATCTCTTAAGCAAAAATGGGAAGACTAGCAGTGGACTCTACTGCTGGCTCGGAGTGCATACACAAGGCTGGGAGACAGTGGAGATGGTCACCTGATGTCACCTTTAAAAGAATACGTAACATCAGAAATGACGGGAGCAAATCAAACTGTAAAAATCCTACAATTGGCTGGCACATCAGATACACCACTGCTCATCACAACATTCAGTTGGGTAAACGGCAAAGGGTCATCATCATCGTGCCAGCAAGTTCCTGCCCCTAGTAAGACTAGTGTCACTTTTTACAGGTATCAAATACAACAGAATTGGTTATGTTTGTCTCAAGGGGTGTGCTTCCATAAACAGAAGCACACCCTTTGTTTTAACTGCTAACCACAGAACAAATTCAGTATAGCCAGGAACAAGATAAAAAAAAGCTCTCTTTGGGCACAAAAATCCAGGACCCTCCCTGTTGTTATATTCAAGCCCCAGATGCCAAATATCTTTCTAGAAGTAAAGTTCACTACCGTAGTCGCTTTTCCCTTTGAAATATATTCCAAGTCTGACATGGGTAAGTGCAAGGGATGGTGATCTGAACACACTGTTCTTCACTTCAGTCTCTCACTTCCAACTAGCGTCTGTTAATTCCTCAAATCAGAACTCGTTTCTCTCCCTAGTTAAAAACAAGCCTCTCTGATATTATTACAAAACTCTCCTTTCTGATTCCTTCAGGATTATTGGATTGCACCTGCTTTATTCTGGGGAGCAAGTCTTAGAGATTTTATAGCTGTCATAATACCTTTTGTTAGACTTTCAACCTCAACCTTACTACATGCAATCATAGGTAGTTCTGTTCCATCTGTAAGAGAATTTGCAAGCCATTAAACAGCTTCAGAACTCTAGATCTAGAAGCTTCTCTCAGCATCTTTAAGTACAGTACAAAGTATTTACTTCTGTAGCTCTAGAATTCACGTGACATCTTTCTGCTTGCAAGGCAACAGCGTGGCAGAGTCCAGATTGAAGATTCCCAGAGCCAGTAACAAACTCATGTTGAACTTCACTTGCTGCCTAAAACAATGAAAAGAAGCAGATGTTTGATTCAGAGAACTCCACTGCTGAGCCAGTAGCACAAAGCATTAACACTTCCTTGGGGACAGTAAGCCAGACAAAGAAATACCAACCACATGCTCCCTTTATAATTACCTGGGGAGAAAACTACAGAGAGCATCAGATGAGATCAAGGTTAAGCAGAGGCACAACTATTTTCCTAAAGCAAGCTGCAGTGTGAGGAATGACTGATTGCAAGACAACTACATTGCTCCTAATGAAGAGCCATGGCTGGGGAGATGAGCACCTTGGCAGGTTACAGCCTTTAACCTCAGTTTACGTGCCACACTCTGGGGAACTCACTGATGTTTAACCACCAGTTGAGTTGAGGTCAGTGCTCACACTGCAGTCCTGGCAGGAGAGCATTACCCCAGAGGCTGCCGAGACCCCTGAGGTCCTGTCCCTGCCAGAACCCACCATTCTGGATCTGTGCCTACAACCCAAAAAGGGCATGATCAGGGTCACCATACAACACTTGCCAAATTCCCTAAAGGAAAAAGAAGGTAATTTATCTTTAGAATTAGGACATGCATTTGCTGATGAGAACGATCTGTCAGCAAAACCAAGTGTCTTCAGATGTCAAATCTGTCATTCCTTTTAAGACTAGATGAGCTAGAGGTAGCTTGAAGTAACCACCATGGCTTTGCCAGGGGAGTGGCACACACTAATTAGGAGCATCTGAGTCTTACATGCTTGCCACGCTCCTGGGAAGCCTGTGTGGGTGGAATGTCAGCATGAGCTGAGCCACTCCAGCACCCAGGCACAGACGCTCACAACAGCATGACAGTCACTCCTCTTTTAAGTGATGGCTTTGATTGTTTAGAAAAGCGCCAACAAACCATCCCTGCAACTCTTGAGATTACAGCCATTGCTCTGGCCTGCCAGGACGGGATTTCTCACATTAAACAGTTGGGGGCATTTCTATTTCCTTTGAAGAGACCAAGAATCGCTCTGCTGTTCAGACGAGCATGTGCCTGGATTGCCAAGCCGAGGAACTGCTCGAAGGAGCACGGGAGAGCTCGAGTGACTCTCTTCCCATGGGCAGCGAAACAGCACCGTGCGGCTGCCGGGGGGTCGGCACGGCCCCCCCGGCGGAGCGGGATCACAGAATCACAGGATGTTAAGAGATTGGGATAGACCTTAAAGATCATCTAGTCCCAACCCCCCTGCCATGGGCAGGGACACCTCCCACAGGCAGGACACCTCCCACTAGATCAGTTTGCTCAAGGTCTTATTCAATCCGGCTTTGAACACTGGCAGGGCTGGAGCATCCACAACTACCCTGTTCCAGTGCCTCACCACTCCACACTAAAGAATCTCCCTCCAGTATCTAACCTAAATTTCCCCTCTTTTAATTTGTACCCATTTGTACCCTCTTTCCATCTGTATTCACCAGACTCGGCTTCCCAGGCTGCCGCTCCCACGCCGGAGGCCGAGGCACGGAGGAACAGCTCACAAGCCACAGAGCTGCCGCACACGGGCAACCCCCGCCCCCGGGCGCCCCTCGCTATCACGGGATCCCCGTGGACGGGCGCTCCCGAGGGGCACGGCCACCGCAAACGCGGGCCAGGTCCCGCCGCATCCATCCACCCTTCCACCCACGCTGAGTCCCGGGCGGGGCAGACGCGGTCGCTCCGGTGCCGCTCGGCTCCCCTCCCCTACCCGGATGCCGTGGGCCGCGTGGAAGAGACAACTCCTGTGGCGGGATCTCCCTAAATACTCCGCGCGGCGGGGGCGGAACAGGCGCGCGGCGCTTTCCGGCTGCGCGCGCACAGGGAAAAGGGGAAAAGCGGAAAAGCTGTGAGTGGCGGGTTATGTGTGTTGAGGGAAGAGCAATGCGTGACCGCGGGGCACGGTGCTGGAGTTACGGCCGCGAGCACTAGGAAAAACAGGTCCGTGCGCAGCCGGCTTTACACGGGCAGGGTGTTTGCGTGTGGCCATGGGAAGTTCGCCTTCCCCGTCCCTCAGAGGGAAAAGGTGTGCTGAAAATAACCGAGGTCTTTTAGGTTACTCCGTGAAAAATGCCACCTTTTGATAGCAATGTGTAAACATTGTACACTTTTATTCCTAAGGCCTTTCATATTTCCAGTGCTAAATGCCAAACTCTTGTATTTCAGCATACGAGGATATTAACTGTTCCTAGGAAGTGTGATATTAGAACCAAACATGTTTTAAACGAACAGGCTTAGAGGCTCTGTTGTGATCCTGGTGTGTAAATTGATGGTAAACAAGAGCTCTCGTACTGGTCAAAGGGAGTGGGTTGCCTTGCCTGGTGTCTTGGTTCTGGAAGGAAAGGAATAAAAATTCTGATGCAGAATAATCTGTCTCAGTGAAAAAAAAAATCCCAACTTATAAGTATGGGGAGTTCTTCTCAAGTGAAAAACTGCTGTTGTAATTCTGCGTATTCTTATTGGCTTTTAATAAGTCTATAAAATGCTGGTAAAGTCCTACGGATGTGGCCACAATTTCTGCAAATGTGGGTACAAAGTAGCTGCAATGTCTGCTGCCCCAGTCCTCTGGCTGTCTTCTGAGCATTGTAAATACTCTATTGTGAATACTGCAGGGGTGGTGGAGAGCCCCAGATTTTACTATATGTTTTTAGTGAAAGTTGCTCTGGCTAGTATTTTTGTTTTCCTTTTTTTTCCTAGATGTCATTTTAAAATTTAAACTGAAGTCTTCAGAAAGAAGACAGCATCTTTAAATTCAGAATATTATCATGTACAATGAGAAACTGATACTGGTCTTGCAACTCGGTGATAAGTGTCAGAGTAAAGATGTGTTCTCTGTGCCATCCATTCTTAACTTTCCATGTTTTTGACCTCTACTATTGTCAGTTTTCCATGCTTAATCACAGGTCAGAAAAGACTGGGTCCAACCTTTCACCGATCACCACCTTGTCAAGTGGCACTAAGTGACATGTCCAGTCTTTTCTCGAACACCTCCAGGAATGGTGACTCCACCACCTCCCTGGGCAGCAGTTCCAATGCTTAACAACCTTTCTGTGAAGAAGTTCTTCCTGATACCCAAGCTGAACCTCTACTTCATGGATAAGCAGTCAGAATCTTTCAATTACATTTAAAGGAAGAAGCCTTTAAAACCAGGGAGCTGTCTTTTTTTTTTTCCTTTCTTGAATTCTGTCCCTTCCAGGTGTATTATTTAAGAGTCTATGAAGTAACCAGCACCTCTGGGCTAGGTAAGCACATGCAGCTCATGAAAAGCATTATCCCTCTTTGTGTTCTCCCCACACCATTCTGTTATGTGCAATTCATCCACATCTTGTTTTTACTATCAGATGGTTGCTGCACAGAGCAGCTCAGGTTGGACATGGACTGCTGGCTGAGATTTCACTTGCCCTCCTTCCCCTGGCCTGATGCATTCCTTTACATCTCAGTGACATACAAAACTGGTTTGAATTCTCTGTGCTTCTGAAGCGCAGTCTGTGTTTTACACCCTCATCTTGTGCAGGATGTAATCCTCCTGGAGTCCCTCACTGTCCTGTCACGCCTTCATCTTAATTAAGTATCACCCCCTTTGCCGCTCCTTCACATCTCGCTGTTAATAACTCCAAGTACAAACAGCTGCTCCACTAACAAGAGGTAGTGCTAACCCACTTTTTACTACTATGGAAAGTATGTACAGTTCTCGAAAGTCAGACATTGCTCTATGAGCAGATTCTTTTCTACGCAAAACTGCCCTTTTGTACTTAATTTGTTCACAAAATGCTGTACCTTTTGTATTGCATGTTGCTCCGACTATGTAATAATCATCTTCTAATAAACCACTTACAATTGTAAATAATATGCCTAAAATAAATATATATATTGAATGTATTCAAAATATTAAAAGTATGTTTACTGTTTAAAAGAACGATCTTGTTAAAAGCTCAGAATGCTGCCGGGGTGCTGGAGAGCTCCAGATTTTACCATACGTTTTTTATGAAAGCTGGTCTGTCTAGTATTTTCATTTTCCTAAATGTCATTTTTAAATTTAATCTGTGAAGCCCTCAGAAAGAAGACAGCATCTATAAATGCAGAATATTACTATTAGAAACTATCGATCCTGTACAACGAGAAACTGATACAGATTTTGGAACTGAGAAAATATATAATGTTCATTGAATAATATTTAATAGAATGTTTACCTCAGCAATAACAAATCATATGAGAAATACAGTGTTTTACAGAACTGATACATCAGATGACATGTGCATATAGTTTCAACTTTTCTTGCCTAAATATAGAAGATGTTTAAGTGAACAAGTGTGCTACGAACAAGCCAACGCTTTGGGCTCATTTGCATCAATATGTGAACCCGCTGAAAGCCATGATAAATGAGCCTTGGTTTTGTGAGCAGACACATAGCTGTGCCGGGGGAACAAACACACATTAAACCCCATAACATGCAGCACAATCCTATGAATGGATACGAGCAGTGCCCAACACACAGCTGTCACACACAGCGCTCTGTGTGCAACACAGGTTTCATTACATTTTTACTTGAGGTGAACGTGCATCCACATTTCCAGCGATAGCTACATATATGTAAGATTATCTGAAGGGTAAAGCTCTGACCTGATGGCTGCGGTCAGGGGGATTTCTGCCACTGGTTTTAAGCAGTGGAGAAAGTGCATGTGGGATTACAATTGCTATTTCTAGACTTGCCCTTTGCCTGTCACCCAAGCCTGTATTGCTCTCTACTCAGTCAGTACCACTGCTCCTTCTCTCCTCTTTTCCTCAGCACTTGTCCCAAGGGAACAAGGATACCTACTCTGCTGGCAGCTCTGCCTTTGGGCTGCTGCTCATGTCGGTGGTTGCAGTTGCCGCCTCCAGATCCCCTCATTCAGATCCCAACAATGTCCTCTGATAGAAATGCATCACATTAACTTAATGAGGTATTAATTACATTTAAGAATCAATTCATTCTCCTCCACAAACAGTATTTCAGGAATTATAGTTTGTCTATAGATATTATTTTTTAACTTAAATATATAAGTTGTAATAAATAACAATTTTTTTAAAAGCAAGAAGGGAGATTAGATTTGTGAAGTTGTTGATGTTTCCCCATGGTTTGCGCTGTCTCCTTGTGCCGAGTGAGTCAGAAACTGTCCCGTGGCTCCAATGTATAACCTGGAACGCATGGGCCACTTCTGTAAGAGAGGAGACAAGCACAGAGCTGAGATACCTGGGAGCTTTGCACTCTGACTGCAGTTCTCAGCAAAGCTTTAAGTCTTGATGGAATCACAGTACGAGAAAATAGGAAACTGTTGCTATCACCAGACATTTCCCATTTTGTCATTTGTTGGAAAATGTTAGGAGCTTGGTAAGGAAGCCTCAGCCTGGATATTTGCTTTGGTAATTAATCTAAAGGCACAGCTCCCAGCCCCACTGTGATCCAGCAGACAGGAGCAGGCTGTGCTGGTCAGTCATCCTCGCACAGTTTGTGTTGTGGATGTTCTGTTAGAGGAAAAACAATACATTCCTTTTCAAGGCACCAGGGATACTACAGGGATACACCTGCACCTGCAGGGATTGCAGCTCTATGTGCACACCCATCTGTGCAAACTCCCACAACGCTGACCACAGCACAGGGGCTGCTAAAAACTGTGTGTTAAAGGGAATTGAATGTGGTTGCTCCTTGGCGACACTGGCAGCTTCTTGTTCAGCGATTTCAGATGCAACAATTAATCTTTCCACTCACTGATTTTTGGAATCATCAATTACCCTGGTGTTAAATATTTACTCTGAAATCTTGAGTTTCTTAACCCCAGCAAATTATTTACTGCAAACAGCCCTGCACCTCTAGGTAAGAGAAGCTTAATACTGCAGTTACATCTGAGCTCTTTTATTTAAAGACTAAAGCAGCAGCATATTCTGACTTGGAAAGACTACGATCTCATTTAGTAATTTTGTTTCAAGTATGATGTTATGGGTTTGTCACCAATGAGACATCTGAGTTTAGTCATTAATTATATTTTTCATTTGGTGTACACACAACTGTACTTGAATATTTTACTTTTCTCACGATTTGCATTTACTGTACTTACATTGGTATATCAATGCAGTTAAAGTCTTCATCTGTACAGGTTGTCTCATAACCTGCACTTTGGGGTTTTTGAAGCACATGCTAGGATTTATTTGTGACACTTTCATCCAGTGCCAACTAAAAAAAATTCACTTACCACCAGGAATATTAGAAATATTGGTTAGGCTGATCGAATCTCAAAACTAGATGCATTCAAATGATATATAAATAAAATTATAAAAATAATTGCTTAAGTGAATCCAGTATTGCTCTATTCCAGTAGCCTGGGAAATGTGCATCTGGATCATTTAACTGCTGTAGTAGCTATTTCAGGGTATTTTTCTGTCAGTAGTAGTTGGCAGCTGATAAAATGTACCTGTATCCTTTTGCTCTGACAGGAAACTAACAGAAGCTATTTTGAACTTATTTTGAAATACATAATAATATTTTTTTACATATATTATAGCCATCTTCTAATTGATGTAGAGGTTTTGCTTTCTTAATGAGCCTGCTAATCATTTAAATGGCCCCAGAAGCCTGTATTCACATCATGCTTTTTACAGCAACCAGCACTGCGAACAAGGAACTCCCTGTGAATTGGGCACTTTATAGAAATTAGAGATTACTTCACAATTTAACTTAATTAAATCATTCTGAATTCAGACTCTTAAAAAAAGAAAAAAAAAAGGAAAAAAAGAAAAGAAAACACCCCAGTGCTCTAAGTCATTCCCTGTGACCAGCGCCAAAGAAAATATCCCGTGGTATTTGAGCCCCATCAGTCAGTGAGCAATGCGTTGGGAAACAGTTTCCAGCCCCAGGCCCTCTCCAAGAGCAGTTCCCCTTTCTCATTCCTTCTTTATCACTGTGATTTTTTTGATGAAGGGAAGAGTATATACCAACTAGACAAAATAAATGCTTCATAAAAGCACTTTTATGGAAGGAATTAACACGTGGCTGGTAATTAATGCCACCTTCCATACTGTGGCTGCCTCGGCAGGAGAAGAAGAGCAGGCTCAGCCATGGCTGGGGTCACTGCTGCGGGACCATGCATCACCTCACCACAAACACACGCTACCAGCAGAATCCAATGGGTCTGGTGGGAGACCACCAAGGTTTCCATGTGGGGAACAAAGAGGTGCCAGTACTTCTCTGGTGCTGCCCTTTGCCTTCAATTCCAAGGGACCAAGTCCCACTAGGTTTGGACCTACATTATATTTGATATTTTGGTGCAAAGTCCCTGAAGCTGGAGGGACAAAGCTCCAAAATATTTCCATCAGGCCCCTAGCACCTAAGCACAATGGTTGGTCCAGACAGGATTTTCATGTATTACCTCTACCAACAATACATGAGTTTGAAATCTTTAGTTTCATCTAAATATCTAAGGCCAATGAGCTTCTTCACTGACAGAAGATGGTAGCTGCTGCTCAGCTCTCCTACCTTGACGGGGTGGAGGTATCCATCCCCTCGGAGGGTGCCCAAGCCCTCTCCCGGTGACTCCTCCTCATCCTGCAGGCTGCGAGTGAGGTGTGCGATATAGGTGGTGGCCAGAAGGAGCACATCCAGCTTGGAGAGCTTGGTGTCGGGCGGCACCGAGGGGAGAGTCTTCTGCAGCTCGAGGAAGGCGTGGCGCAGGGTCTGGACCCGGCTGCGCTCCCGAGCGGCGTTGGCGGCCGCAGGTCGGCCCGGGGGTGCCCCAACCCGTTGCGCACCCACCAAGGGAGGGCAGGAATTGCCACCGGCAGCAGAAGATAGCAGGGAATCGGGCTCTGCGCCCGGGCTGGAGATCTCCTCGCTGCTGCCAGCTGAGTGTCCACAGTCCATTGGTGACTTCCCGGGCAAGGAGGGTCCTGCAAGCAAGAAGAGCATCTCTAAGGGCAGCTGCTACACTGCGCCAAAACTCTCTGAAAACAAAGATGATCAGAAATGCAAGTGCTGCCTGTGCCAGGGAAAGCTGGGATGCAGCTCTGCGAGCTGCTTTTCTACTGGCTGCTTACAAATTTGATTTCACACAGGTAGAGAAACAGAAGTTGAACTCTTCAATGATTGGGATTTAATAATTTTTTTTTAAAGTATTGCACTGAGCAAATTTTTTGTTACTCATAGCCCAGAAATGGCTTTTGAGAAAATCCAATAGTCACCACTCAGCAGCACTGACACAGTGGTTTCCGCTTACAAACTACTAAAAATTAGGCTAAATGCAATTTTTAAAACATATTCTTCATATGGTTTGGGGTGTGGGACTATTTATATATTTTCTATTTAGCTGCAATCATTTTATCAACAGTCTCACAGGTGATCAGTGCTTCATGGATTACAGAAAGAAAAAATATCATTTTCAGATGCAGCATAAATGGAGCCACAGAGCGCGGACTCATCTTTTGAAAGGTAAAATTTGGTCCATAATTTTAAAGGATCAGGAACTGACTTCTCCTCTCGTCCCACCCCCAATGTTACTAAAATAATTTTTGTGCTTGTTCTGTATCATCTACATTTTCAAATTTCAAAAGAATCTTTTAACCTCTTTTATAGCCATTGGGGGGCAAGAGAACCTTTTGAAAACAATGACGAAAACTTATTTTGGGCAAAGCTGAAAATAATGTCCACAAGGTCTTTTCCCAGCTTTCAGAAAAGCTGGTCAGTCAGTTCTGCCTGTAAACAACTCACAATCTTTTAATTAATTCAGTTCCTCTATTAATATTCCCCAAACTGTAGCAATTCTTAGCTGGAATAATACCTGATCCTGTTGTCCTCAGTTAAGCAGCCCTCCTGGCAGTCCCAGATTTCAGCTTTCAGGTGTTAGGACTGTCTGTTTCTGTGACAGTCTGGCTAGACAAGGGCAAGGACAAGTTATTAAACCTTTTAATTTCATTTAAAAACTATGTAATATTAAAAGTTTAAATAAAATTTATGCACATAAATGACTGAAGGTCTAAATTTACAAGAACTGGATCTTGATTTTGCAAAGCATTTCAAGCACACTCGGAAGTCAAAGATTGCTAGCAAAAACAAGGAAAGGTTTCTAAACAATCTTTTTTGCAATACTTTGATGGTATTTATAAGATATTATTATTGTTATTATTTCAGGTGTTCTATTGCGATTAATTTGATGTTAATCTGGTTCACAGTTTTATCATGTCATGGTCTCTTCAATATCAGTACAGGTTATACTGAAATTATTTGTGAAATATTTTGTGCACATTGTAGCTGTAAACCAAAGAGAAAAAAATCTCACTATTCTTTTTTCTTGTGGTATTTATGATTGATATAAAATAAAGCTCACATTAAGACTACATGAGCTTGTCTAGAGCAAGGTCTGAAAAATGGTCCTAGCCTCTAGCTTAAAATAAAAAAAATCCTATGTGCTTTTTTCTTGGTGTTTTCTCATTGTGTCAGGCATAGTCAGATCTGGATACATTTCAGTTTAAAAAAAATTATCATTGCAGAGATGACATCAAGACAATCAATAAGACAATCATGAAAACTGCAGAAGTTTATGTTTGTCAGCAGGACTTTTCATTTGCCATACCATCTAATTCCCACTGATACAAGGAAGTCTTCCCAGATTACTGGAGAAGTCCAGAATATCCAAGGATGTGGACAGACTGGGTTAGTATAAATACCTGCTCCTCCGATGAAATACATGACTAAGGCTGGTTTACACACAGTTTTGATTTCGCCGTGCTGGTGTATAACCAGATTTAGAACTGGAATACTACATAGTAATGCATGTACCTAAAAGCCTCATCTCCTTGGGTGACCCTTGGAGTAGGAGTTTCTGTTTTAGGAGGTTCACGTCTACATCAGATGAAATCCTAGGCCTATATTAAAAAAATGTAAAAGGTTTCATCTGTGGAAATGAGAGATTTCACTCTGAATTAAATTTCTCCACTGTCAGACTTCCCATCAAGTACAAACAGCAAATGGTCTGTGAAAATCTGCTACGCAGAAACACAGGATCTGCTGTAGGTATGTAGATATGTGTAGCCAAACCACTGTGATTCCTGCACCAGGAGCTCTTCTGTTGCACGCTGGGACTGGGCAGCATCACTCTTCTCCCCGGCATGATCAGGACACACACTCTGGGTGCTGTGCTCACTACAAACCCAGGAGTCACCAAAACCTCATGATCCAAAAAATGCTGCTGAAAACTAAAGTAAATAAAACGCCTTTGGGCAATAGTCATCTTCCCTTCAGAATTTTACAAGAAAGAGGGTTGTTTTTTAAACAGTTGCGGTAATTTTTGCAAACACCCACTTGCCGCCTGATGTGCAGAGAGAACTGGGGCTGTGAAAGTAAGTTAAAGTATTTATATTGTTTCTAAAGCATTTTTAGTGCAGTATTTCTAATGCGGGCAGACGCATTTGTATTTTAACGTGACATTACAAAGACATAATTGGTTTAAAATCTTTTATCAAAACAACCAGCACAACACTTGTTTTAGTCTTACACTCCATGTGAACGAAACGGCAATGAAGGCAACCTGCCCACACGGACAAGGAAAAGATTGAAAATGCCAGAGCAGAGCACACAGGCTGAAAAGAAACCGGTGGAAACCTCAGTTAAACTTTTCCGTTGTTCCTTGGGGGAAAAAATATAGTGAATCTGAATTATTTTGCATCGGTTTTAAAAAGACCTTGCTCTCTGCATAACTCTGGTAACAGGTAAGGAAAATCCTTTCTCTGGCGCAGGGAAATAGGAACTTGCCTATCGATGTGCGAGGGTAGCACCGGAGCTCACTGAGGAGCTCTCGGTGACCCTCACCGGCTGCCCAGGGGTGCGGGACGCGGCGGCTGCTGCGTCCCCGTCCCGCACCCCGCCTGGTGAACGCGGCTCCCCGCGACCTGGCAGGACGCCGCGGTGCCCGGCCCGGGGATGAACTTACCGTTCCCGCCCAGTGCGGAGCGGGACAGCCCGGCGCAGCCCGCTCCGCTCCGCTCCGTTCCTCTCCTCTCCTGTCTCGTCTCGTCTCGTCTCGTCCCGTCCCGTCCCGTCCCGTCCTGTCCCGTCCCGTCCTGTCGCGTCCCGTCCCGTCGCGCCCCGTCCGGCCCCGCGGCGCCGCTTATAAGCCGTCGCGGCGGTGGATGCGGCGGGGCTGTGTCGCACCTGGCCGCCGGGCTCCCCCCGCCAGCCCGGGCGGCAGCGACCGCCCCTTCCCGGGCGGGTGGGTCATCAATCACGGAGCTGTCGGGGGGCGCTCCCCTCCCTCCCCCGGCCCGGCCCCGGGTCCGTGCGGGTCCCGCCGCCGCTCGCCCCGTCCGCGCTGTTTTTCTTAGGATAAAATAACGGTTTTGCTGGAGGAGAGAAATTTAATCTCTGGGCTGAGAGCTCGGGCGATGCCCTGTTAAAAGCAAGTCCTTTCTCCCCGCTCCGCCGCCGCTTCTCCGGCTCGCTGAGGTTCCCTGGGCCGAGAGGGTTCCCCCGGGTGAGATGCGAGGAGGGAGCGGGGTCGTGGCTGCCCAGGCACCGCTCGGGGCCCGACCCCCACGCGTGGGTCCAACGCGGGATGGAAACACGAACGGGATGAGGCGAGCCCGGGCGGGCAGAGAGGGGGATTTAACAGGGAACGGGGAGCGAATAAAAATCAGTAACGCTAATGAGAAGGGACAGTCAAAATAAATACCGGGATATAGAATTAGCTCAGAATAACATTTGGAACGAAGCCCGGTTGTGCGATAACAGAGACACAATAAATCAAGCCTCGGGAGCAGTGGAAAAACAAAGTCTGAGCGATTCGTTACCGGGTTTGCAGCCAAGAAAATTAAGGACTTAAGCTTCAGCCATAATTGGAAGTCCCGGTAAGGGACAAGCCCGGTGAGGACCTGGCGGGGGCAGCCGCGCAGGGGGAGCCGGACACCTGCCCTCCGCCCCGGCCCCGGCCCGGCAGTGCCCGGAGAGCGCCCGCTGCAGCCGCCGGGCCGTGCCAGCAAAACGCTCCAGTCCGACTGTTCCACCACGGCCACGCTGAGGGGTACGAGCAGGGGCTGCCCGCGGGTGGGACCCTTGCTCTGCCCGGCGCCCACCGCCCTGCCCAGGCCCCGCCGGCCTTTGTGCTCTCGGGCTGGTACCCACAGTCCCGCGGAGCCGCGTCCGCCGGGCGGAGAGGGCTGGCCGGCGAGGGATGCTGTCGGGCTTTTCTAAAGGTTCTGAATTTAAGTACTAAATTCTAAATTAAACGGAACTAAAACTGAAACTGTGTGTCAACGTTTACCTTTGTCTGACGCTGGCAGCCTCGGTGGGGGGCTCCCTTCATCCATCACGGGCCACTCTTTCAAAAGCTACTATGTCGGTACGTACAAGACCACGATGATGGACTTCACCTGCACCACAGACCGTTCTTTGGCCTCCCGGGGCCCAAAAGAGTGAAGGCCGGGGTTCTCTGGGTGACAGGGAGGCGTCTCCAAGCAGCTGTGCTGAGCCACGTTTTTGCCTCGAGGTTTCCGACGCTGCCTCCAGCCCAAGTGAGAATTGCTGAATCCTCTCTGCAGCCAGACACCTCTATGCTCAGCCAGCCTCTGGGGCTCAAGCAAGCAGTTCTTGAACACGTCCTTAAAATTATACTCAAACATCCTCACTGTGGTGTGATGTGGGAGAACTGACCCCAGACTCCCTGGGGAGCAGGGAGACTTGCCTTCCAGCCCCAGTTCCACTGGGGCTCCTCTGTCATTTTGTAAGCATCGAACATGCACTGACTGGGTCCAGCACACAAGTCTGGGGTACCCCGGGCCCATCCCCCAGGGAGGTGTCCTCAGTTTGCCTGCCCAAGTGCCTCGCAAAGAGGTGTTCTCACTAGGCTATGGGACACTTAGCCGTGTCACTGACAGAGAACTTAACAGCAGGTGTCCCAACTGCCCAGGACTTCCCACCCACCCTAAATTAGCAGATTGCTACTGCTGTGCTCTTCTTCTCTGCTCTGATGTAATTGATGACACAATATTATGTATTTTTTTGGCTTTCCCACCGTACACACACTGTATTCTGCCTCAGTGCAGGAAATCCAATGGAAGGAGCTGGAAGAAAAGTGGTGGTGGAATTCCCCTTACCATCTTTTTGACAGTGCCAAAACCAGCTTGCTGCAGAGTGCACTTAGGGAAGTGGCATGGCGAGATTTGTGGTCAGAGTTTGGATACACCACCCTGGCTGCTAACCCTGTTACCATAAAAGAGGTGCTTTAGATATATTTTAAAAAAAGCCAAGGAGATATAAAGGTAGAAATAGTTGTTCTTTGGTCCATGAAGATTTTCTCCCACCAGACGACTCCACCATTATAACCACAAAGACATCCAGTGATTTTCTTCTATCAACACACTATTTAAGTCTAAAACTGTAATAAGCTGCTGCAGCTGTTTCTTCTTCTTTTTTCCCAAATGACTGAGAATTACTTTCCTGCCTTACCTTCAAAAGTACATTTCAAATCTGAGAAATGCCAGAGCCACAGAAGAGCCAGATTTTCAGCATGATTTAGGTAAGAAAAATTTTTACCAGAGACAGAGTGATATTTTTCCAGGTACACTCTGCCCCCTTCATGTCAAATTATTCTCTGGTTTTATAGCTACAATTCAGCATGAACATTTAGGGTATTTCTTTCCAATTTGTTCATTTTGTCTCATTCCCATTTCTGTATAAGGGTTTCTCAAGTGTATTTGCCTACTGGTTATTGGTGCCTGACGGACTAGTAGAAATGTCACTTCTCCAAATAATACCATTCTCGCATGAAGCCACACATGGACTGTATCTGCTCAGGTCCCACAGATTCCACCTCTAGCCCAGGAGCAAATAAAAGGCAGGACACAGCCACAGAAGAATAAAAATATGTTGAAATTCAGAACTTCTGCTTCTTGGGGAAATCTCAATGTTTATAATGGGAATGCATTCCAAAGCCAAACAAGTATTTTGAACATTTCCAGTTATATCCTTTTTCTTTTGTTTCAAATACCATGTTGATATTTGAATTGTAGAATATGGTGTATTGTAGAACCATAGCATATTCTGCAGTTATGTTAAATACATTATATCAATAAACCTTTTGTATTTTCTCAGTAATAATTACTTTCAAAATACATCTAAAATACGTATCAGAAGGGCTCCATTCTAGTGTATAGGTGTGTACATAAGTGTTAGAGCATAGTATCAAGGGATTTTTTTAAAGATTTAGAGTTACTAAGATCCCACTATTATTCCATTTCAGACCCACACATATTTAAGGAAATACTTCTAAACAATTCCCTTGTAGATGTTCAATCTGGAAGGGTCTCTGTAAACTCAGCTGTTCTCACTCTAAGAAAAGATAAAGGAAAACCAGGGTGAAGAGAACCTCAGCAGGTCTGGCTCTCCATTTTCCCTTTGGTAGTGGCCATGTGAGAAGCACAGTATTGTAGCTGGAGTGAGTGAGCAGTGAGAGCTGAGCAGGCTTTACTGGAGCTGGAGAAATGTGAATATTTATGCATCAAATGACGGTGTGGATGATTTTACTCAAGGGGAATTGCAGACTTCAGATGCAGGGGTTGAGGGCAGGCCAAAGTATGGGCCTGATGATACATGTGTGCAGCTGGGATGCAGCCAAACTATTATGGAATATAAAAAGTGAGAGGGAGAGTAGATCCAGAGTGAAAACAAGACCCACTTTGCTGTTTCACCAGAGGAAGATTTTGGTAGGGGTTTGCTTTAGCTGGATGTGAGTTGCTTGGCTGTGGGATTCTCTGTGTGAAACCCCATGGCCTATGTTGTATCGGGAGTAATTAATTCAAGTCTTCAATGTTTTATTTAACATACAAGAAAGTAAAATCTTTAATCCAGAAATACTCAGAATCTATGGAAAATAAGCCATGCTTTTTAGATGACTTACACAGCATAACCCACATTAAGAAATACTAATGATCCATTAAACAGTTTTAAATGGGTGTGTGTAAGGGAGAGGGAAGTGTAAGATGGAAAGATCACTCCACGCTGTAGAGATCAGGGGGCAACTTCCCAGTGTGCTGCATTGAGTCAGCAATCGAGCAGCTGCCACTTTGAACATGCTCACCAAAAGTATTGACATTCTTCTCTGGGAATTGCTTAAACAAGAATGAACTTTTTTTTGATGTATGCTTTTCTGTCTTTCTTGATCTGAATATCATTGATGACAACAGCTAAAACAAGAAGTTCCGTTCTCGGTTAGTATTAATTTCAGGACTAACAATGACAGCTACACATCAGAGCTTTATTTAGTGTTTTGAATTTTCTGATTCTGAAGGCAAATGGCTCACTAGCTTTATGTGCTGGTTTTGGCTGAGGTAGAGTTCATTTTCTTCACAGGGGCTGGTATGGGTTGCATGGGGGTTGCACTGGGGGTGCATGGGAGGTTGGGACAGGTGACCCCAACCGACCAAAGGGACATTCTATACCATATGACATCATGCTCAGTATATGAAGTGGGGGTGGATGTTTAGATGTTTGGCATCTGTCTTCCCAGGTAACCATAGCATGTGATGGGACCCTGCTTTCCTGGGGATGGCTGAACACCTGACTGCCCATGGGAAGTGGTGATTGAATTCCTTGTTTTGCTTTGCTTGCATGTGTGTCTTTTGCTTTCCCTACTTAACTGTCTTTATCTCAACCCACTAATTTCCTAGCTTATACCCCTTCCAATTCTCTCCCTAATCCTACTGGTATGGGAGTGAGAGAATGGCTGTGTGGGGCTTAGTTTAACAGCTTAGTTAAACAACAGTTTAACAGAAGCATCTGGCACCTCAGAGTTACAGTACCACTCACTTACTATCTCAGCTTTGGAAATCTGGTTCTTTATAATGAAGATGAAGATCTTGTTATTCAAGGGGAAAAATGCATGCAGAAGTTAAATTTATTTGAATCAACTCTATCAAATTATATTTATCTTTATAACCAATAACAAAATACACACAACATTGCATGCAAAAAGATAGATCCTGATTTTCTTATTCAGGAAAAAATCCTTTGT